TTTTTGGTTTTTCTCCGGTACCAGGAACCGAACTCACGACCTTGCGCTTGCCAGGCAGGCGCTTTTGCCGCTGAGCTAAATCCCCAGCCCCAATTCAGGCTAAATAAATACTCCTTTGGCACCCAAGTCCCTTAAAAACTTGAGAAAATTAATTTTCTTAAGAAATATCCATCGCACTCTTGGATTGAAACTTCCTTTGCAGTGTGCCGTCATAAAGCCGGCTCTCAGCTGGTTGCAGGCCTATTGCATCAGACGGGACGAATCACATGTTCCTGACAACATCCCGGCAACCAGTGACCATTCCAGTTAACCTAGGCAGAAGGTGCTACAGTTTTATTTAGATTTATGTAAGATGCCCGGCTCAGTTCTAGGTTCCACTCCAGTTCTGCCAATGTCTTCTCTGGAAAACTCCCGCAAATCACCAACTCAATAATTACAAGTTTTTTCTGGCCTCACCACGCCCCTCTCCTCTCGTCTAATCTACCACATTAAAGGCTTTTCTGATTCTTAAAGATACGTCAATAGGTCACAAGATGACCTTCCTTGGAGGTCTGAGATAAACTGCTTTTAGCCTAGAGCGGCTCCAAGTCCCCAATGCTTTCAAGGTGGGTAAATTTAACCCATTTTGTTGCAGAGGTCTCCGTGTCAGACAGAGCCTTTGATCCTATCAAGAGGGAAGGAGACCGGCCTGACCTTGCTGAAGTTGAGAAAAGGGCGGAAGGCGACCAGAGTAAGTGTTAGGAAAGGGAACACCCCCGACCCCGCTAATCAGCCTTGGCTTTCCTCTGGCTACCCAAGGGGCAGGAAGACTTGACAGCTCTAGACGCGCATGCGCCCTGCTCATTTCCAGGCTCAACCGGATCGGTTGAGCCTGCGCGGAAAAGGCTTTCTGCCGCCGGAGCTGGGAGGGAAAGTGGGATGAGCAGGCTCCCAGCCCATGCTTTGGGAATAGGGAGAGCTCTGGAGCCCCCGAAGCCCGAGAGCGGATCTGACGAGAGTCAGAGGCTGTGGCCTCGGAAGTGGAGATCGGAGTCGAGTTGAAGCTCTCATTTGGGGGCTACCCTGCGCATCCCGGCACTTACATCGTCGCCATTCACTGTCTGCCTTCACCAGCTGGTCTACGAGTCCCGGGTCCTTGAAGCGCTTCTCCTGCGTTTCTCGGATGAGGTCTGGGTTCCCTCCTTTATCCACTCGAAACAAATCCAGATCAAGTACCATTTTCCTTTCTTCCGGGCCAACACTCAGCGAAGTAAATGTCCTACAGCAGCAGCCACTCTGTGGCTGACGCACTGCGCCGGCGCGCTGACCCGTCTAATGCGCAGGCGCGGCGGGGACACGCAGGCGCCCCCTTTTGGCCGGAAGCGTCTTGCCCGAGGCGGGACTGACGCGGGGGCGTGGTGGGGTGGGGTGGGCTCCTCTTTTCTTTTTTTCTTTTTTCCTTTTTCTTTTCTTCTCTCGTCTCGTCTCTTTTTTTTTTCCTATTTTCCTCTTTTCCTTTCCTTTCTGTCTTCTTCTTTCCCCTTCCTCCGTACTTCCTGCCTTCCTTTCTCTCTCTTTCCTTCCGTCGTTTCCGGTACTGGGGACTGAACCCAAGATCTCATACATGTTATCCAAACGCTGTCTACCACTCCCAGCCGGGCTTCTGCCTCTTGTCTTTTTCCTGGCTCTTACCCTTTCTGAAAGGGCTCTAATTGCCTCTTAAAGGTGTAAATACACCAGGTTCCTTCTCCTGTCGAAGGACATGTCTCAGGTTAGGCAGAGGCCTGTTCGTTGGCACCTGCCTTGCAAGCTGCTGCCCACACAAATGCCAGTTTTCTCTTGAGATGGGGTCTTTCGACTGAATCTTTCCCTTGAATCTCTGCCCACTTCTCTATCTCATACAAGAGTATGGCTGCATATTTTCTCACCAGGGTTACCTCAAGATTTCTGCTGTTCTTCCTCAGCGCTGGAACACCTCTCTTGAGCAGATTTTCGTCTTGTCCCTTTACCCTTTAAGTTCACAGGGTTGGGAAAGCGCAGTTGAAATCTCTGAAAGAGAGACAGGAGTAGACTCTTCCTCAAGGGGACAATATTCGGCAAATTTGAAAACAGTAAAAGATAGTGAAGTTGTGTCTGGCGTCTGTTTGAAATCCCTTTACAAAAATACAATATTTGATTTTATAGCTTTCGGGCCTTCCTTAACAATAAAATATTCTAGTTACTGGTTGAAGCCAAATTCATCAGAGTCTCTCTGATAACAAGAAATTATTTGCAGGATTTGGGAATAGGAGGTCTGCTCCTCACCACCCGTCCTTCTACTTTGCAAAAGCTTTAGAACCCTGTCTCCAGTACCTTTTCTGAGCTACGCGTGCTGAGATCTTCTTGGTCTTATGCTACCTTCTTAGTCTCCTGTGATGAGGGTGTAGCATAGTTATCTGTGGTATAATATGTTTTAGCTTGTCCCTGATTCCTGTCACAAAGCTCCTAAAACTTCTAGAATCTCCTGAGGACCTTTTGTTGTACACAGTCAACCTTTTAATAACACCTGAGTTTATGCTAATAAGGTGACAGGGTGGGGCCCATTGCCAGGCACTGACTAGAGGGCTGGGACTCTTGACCCCACTTACCACTATCTATCCAGGAAGGAAGGTTGGAGAAGCTGGATATCAAGCTAAAGAAAAATCCCCAAACCCCAGAAAGCTCTAAAACAAGAGTGGATGAGCTTCTCAGCTGCTGAATGCAGAGGGGCGGGGCATGAAAGCTCTGCTCCACTCCTCAGACTTTGCTCTACCCATTTCTGGCCTGTCTTTCTTTTATTTTTTTCTTCTTTCTTTTTTAAAAGCGTTTTTGTTTTATTTCTTGCCAAACACTTAAAACAGTTTTGTAATTCTATTTTCTGCTTTGAAAATCAGTTTTGTTTTGAATTGCTCATGCCTTTAAGATAAAGATTTCTTTGTAATATGCAATCGGTATACTCAGCGTCTTTATTAACATGCATTCTCATACTGACATTTTGCCATGAGTAAAGGCAACACAAAGAAGGCAATAGGAAGATGTGCTTTACATAAACAATTATAATGTAAATAAGAAGTCTAGATCCCTGCAGAGCAAAAAGATTATGAAGGAAAATATGAATAAGCATTGCATGCAGAATATACCCAAAAGAGTGTGCAGATGTTATACTCATAATAGTCACTTAAATTATATTATGATGCATAATTTCTCAATCATCCATTTGTAAAATAAGAATATTAAGAAACATGAAATCCAAACTACATTTATTTTCACAATATCCAGCCTAAGCTCAAAGCAGCAATTTCACTGACTCTAAATAGTAAATGTTTCAAAAGTAAAAGGCAATCTTAATTTTTAATCCTCTGAATAAGGTCTGCAAAAAAGGAAATGTCTATTATTTTACTCCTCTTGGAAGACCAGGTCCCTATCTGGTCTTACTTACATGATATAGGCAAAAAGATAGCCAACAGATATGTCACTAAGAATAATGTCTATGCATATAAAAGCATCTAATTGATCCATGTTCTTTCTACTTGCCTAGCAAGCCTGTTAAGCAACAGAAGTACTAAATTAACTATACATCTGTTAGAAACTTCCAAGTCCCTACTCTTCACACAATTTTAGTACAGCTATTAAGCATAGGAGATCATTTAAAAAAAAAAACAGAAAAAAAACCCCAAAACATATATTCAGTCTTTGCAGCTGAACATTTTTATAACATGAACAATGTTCACACACAAAATCTGAACTAAATACATGTTTTCTAAGTACAATTTATGTGATCAAAGCTTTCTTAAAGACAGGTCTTAGGTATATGATCTGTACAAACTTACAGTAATATACATTCCAGATAAAGATTTTCTTCCTATTATGACATGACAATATAATTGTGTTTTGAATAAAGATATATTTAAGGCTTAAGGTTATAAACACTTTGGAAGGCAAACAACTCAGTGAAGAAATTTTTTTTAGCTGGATACACATTTAAAAATGTATATCATCTTATAACAGGCCCCCGTACTTTCAAATTTACATGCAAGAATACATTTACATCTTAAATATTCAGGAAAGGCACCAGTTTTATGTAAAAAAGCAGCAAAATTTTCAACCTACCAATTTACTGAAAAAGTCATCACTTTTATTAGGAACAAATGCTGCTCAAGATGTTGGCAATAAGTCATGGTACAGACACATGTTTCATTCAGTGTATTTCTCCCTTAATTATATTCCAGCAGGAGGTGGAACACTTCCTTGGCTATGGGAAGCAGAAGAGTTTGATGGACCATATAAGCTAGTCTCCTTGTACACAAATGATTTTTTTTCCTCAGAGTATCACATTTAGATAGCCAAAGATCACGGATACATTTAGAAATCCCATACTAGTCACAGAGCCAAAATGGCACAACACTGGTGACTGTTTATAAGGCAGAAGCTCCTGAACCAAACTCTGATCTGCATGTCTGTAAGAGGTTTAGCTAGGCCAAAGTGCTCACCAACCACAGCAGTAACAACAATGTCAGTCAAAGCCAAGTTTACCCCTATCCTGGTATAGGTTGTAACCGACATAAAGCAGAAGAGCAGCAAGAATACAAAGACGGCAAACATAACACAGAATTGTGCAGAAGAGGAGTAATCTCTTATGAGGACATGACTTCTCCCATCATCACACATATTTATACTGAAGGTGACTGAAATAATGCCTGAGTCATCCTGAATGGATAACTAAAAGTAGCTGTAACAGTTTTAGTCTCATTAACTTTAGGAGGTTACTCACTAGAATTTCTGGTTTTTTTTGTTTTTTTTTTTTTGGTTTTTCTCCGGTACCAGGAACCGAACTCACGACCTTGCGCTTGCCAGGCAGGCGCTTTTGCCGCTGAGCTAAATCCCCAGCCCT